CACACACACACACACACACAACACACCTGTTGTGTGGACTGGGGAGGGTTCTACCCACATGGCTGAGGACACTCCAGCACCATCCTTTCTGGGCAAGCAGGAGGCTCTGTAGCACCTGGGCCCACCATGGAGCAGCCTAGGCCTCCTTGGCAGCTCCAGAGAAAGATTGGGTGAAGACTAGATTAATCTCAGGAACACTGTGCTTCTCCCCACTAGCACACAAAGCAGCAGGCCACATAAGGGAGAAATCTGGATGCTGGAGAGCAAACACCAAGGGTACATCACCTCTGTGCCAACAGAGAGCACACCAACACTCAGGCTATTATAGAGCTCACAAAACCACATAGGTGCATGCCATAGTTGGGCAGGGTGAGGACTGTGTAGATAGGCTCCAAAGTCTGAATTCCAGTGTTTTGAAGCGGAATGCTAATCTAGATGTACACACGCAAGACTCTTATCTCAGGACAGTGCCAGTGGATTCAGTTGCTGCCTTCATATCCAGAGACAGAGAATATAGCACTAAGGCTTGAACATTTATTGCTCCCCCAATTCCTGAGTGATTCCAAATCAGAAGTACCTGAATTCGAAGGATCTCCAACAAAAAACCTTGGCAATGTTTTTAATATTAGTTTTTTGTTTTGCTGGTACTGTCTTTTGTGTTGGTTTGTTTTGATTTCCATCATTAATTATTATTGAATAGTTTTATGCAATTCTGTGTGGCTTTTTAAAATTCATTAATTTTATTTATTTTCTCTACTTTTTTCTTAATTCTCATTTTTATATCCTCCGTTTAATTTTGTCTTCCTCTTCTCATTTTGCTTCTCCTGCATCTCTAAAATACTTTTTAAATTCATTATATTTATCATTTTTCTTCTTTCTAATTTGTATACTCTACCCTTTTCATTTTTCAATTTCTCTTCTTCTGTCTCTCTTCCCTTCTTACCACCTTTTGTCTTCTTTTTGTCTTTTTTTCCCTTTTTTGTGTTCTATATAGTATAATGTTAATTTTACATTCTTTGTTTTTCAGTTGTAGATAGACAGAATACCTTTATGTATTTTTCATTTAAATTAAAACCCTATTTTTACATTCTTTATTGACTAATTATCAGCCCATACTGTATTATTATTCCCCTTTTCTTTGGTTAGTGGAGTTGTAGATATTATTTATGTGTTAGTTTATAGTTTGCTACCTCTGTTACTGGTGGTTATCCTCTCCTCTCAAAAAGGTGCTGGGATTTAAACACAGTACTTTGAATACATCTAATGGGTGCTTTAGTAAGATGTTTTCTCTGTATGATGTGCCTATCCCAGGGAAAAAATGAGAAAGCAAGTCACTAAAAAAAAAAAAACTCATAACAATGGAAGAGATATCTATCCCAGCAGATGTACAAATCTCAATAGAGAGGAAATGACAAGACAATGTAAGAAGACACTTTCAAAATTAAAAACTCCCAAATGATTGAATCCATAGATATTGAAACATAGGAAAGCCAGATAAGGGTTCAAAAGATTGATTGTTAAAATTATCAATGAATTAAAAGAAGACCTAAAGAATGAATGATACAGAACATGAAAGAGCATTTCAATGAAGAAATAGAGATTCTGAGTAAGAATAACAGAACAAAATAGAAATCTTTCAAATAAAAAACTGAATTATCCAAATAAAAAATTCAAGGGATACTCTCACAAACTAAATCAACAGTCAAAATACATTCTACCGTCATGTATAACTAAAAAGAATAATTTTTTTAAAAACTATATCAAACTAAGAAGGAATACTGGGGCTCAAAGACAAGGTGGATGAACTAGAACATTTAGAAAAAATAAGAAAATATGAACAGAATATACAAGAGCTCTAGAACAACATTAATAGGCCAAATTTAAGAGTCCGAGGTCTTGAGAAAGGTGTGGAAATAGAGACAGATGGCATTGAAAACTTTTTCAGTGAAATAACAGCAGGAACATTCCCTCATCTTGAGAATGAGATGCACATGCAGACACTGGAAGCATTTAGAACTTATATAGACACAAGAAAGAACCTCTCCCATAGCATACTATAAAATACCAAACACTCAGAACAAAACATTTTAAAGCTGTTAGTAAAAAAAAAAGGCCAAGTTTCTGAAAAAAGCAAATGTACCAGAATAAAAATAAACATCTTAGCTGAAACTTTAGTCTAGGAGGGCATGGAATAAAGTATTTCAAGTCCTAAAAGACAATAACTGAACACAAAGGTAGCATATAATGACAATTCTATAATAGAAAATTATAATTGTAACATGAAATAATATGGATTAATATTAATATAATAAAATATAAGATGTAGATTATTTCCAACCCATTTTAATGCATCTTTGTCAACTTCATTGAAATATTTGCACAATTTAAAACTTGAGACTTAATGGGTTAATCGACTACTCTCACTAATTGATAGATCATTCAGATAAAGTATTTAAAAAAAGGTTAAACTGTGCTATATATCAAATAAACTTAAGGCACATCTGCAGAATATTTAAACTACAACAGCTAAATACACTGTTTTGAGATGCTTAGGGGACTTTCTCCAAAATATAAAAAGATATATTAGGCAATAAAGTCTTAGAAATACAATAATATTGAAAGAATTTATTGCATCTTGTCAGATCACAATGGAATGAAGTTAAAAATCAACATAAAGAAAATCTACTGAAACTGGAAAAATAAATGGAATTTGAAAACTAAACATTTGAATGATAAATGGGTCACTGAAGAAATCAGAGAAGAAATTTTTAAATTCTTATATTCAGATGAAAATAGAAGCACAACACACCAGATTCTGTGGGATACATCAAAGGATCTTTTAAGAGGGACATTTATAGCTATAAGGGTCTATGTAAAAAAATCAGAGCAATCACAAACACTCTAATGGTGAATCACAAGGTATTAGAAAAATGAGAACAAAATAATCTGAAAACAGTAGAAGAAAAGAAAGAAATACCAGAAGTGAAATTAATTAAAGGGGAAATCAAAGCACAATACAAAAAAAATCAATGAAATGTTTGGTTCTGTGATAAGATAAACAAGATTTATAAACCCTTAGCCAAACTACCAAGAAAGAGAGAGAAGACACAATTAATAAAATTAGAGGTGAAAATGAGATATTATAACAGATAACACTGAAATCCAGAGGATCATTAGGGACTATTTTGAAAATTTATATTCCAACAAATTGGAAAAGCTATATATGTGTATAAATTTATTGACACAATGTACCAAACTTGAACAAGAGGATATTGGAAATTTAAACAGACAAATAACAATGAAAGAAATAAAAGCAGTAATAAAAATGTTTCTAACAATGAAAACCCTATAACCAGATGCATTAATAACTGTATTTACCAGAAATTTATCTCCAATTTCATCAAATTATTCCATGAAATATAAAGGGAAGAAGGAATCCTTCCAAACTTTGTTATACAAAGCTAGTACTACCTTGTTACCAAAACAAGATGAGGATACACCAAAGAAAGAAAATTATAGACCAAAATCCCTTATGAAGGTAGATGTAAAAATCCACCTGAGCATGGTGGCAAAAAATCTTAATAATGTATTAGCAATTTACATTTAGAAACACATTAAGAAGATTGTTCACCATGATGAAGTTGTCTTCATTCCAAGGATGCAAGTTTGGTTCAATATATGCAAATTAATAAATATGATACATCACATAAATAGAAAAAAAGAAAAGTCACATGAGCATCTGAATAGATGAATAAGCAGAAAAATTCTAGCCAAAATTGAATATCCTTTCATGACAAAAAGGCTAAAGAAACTATAAGTAGAAGGAACTTACCTTAACATAATAAATGCTATATATGACAAACCCAAAGCTAACATTGTACAGAATGGAGGAGAACAGAAAGCTTGTTCTCTATAAT